ATGATTGCAATCGTGCTCTGCTGTGCTCTTAATATGAAACAAACTGCAGAAGCACAAATTGTTAACTGATTCACCAATTAAACAAACAAAGCAGAAAAACAACAGACGAGTCGAGCAAACAGGAAACAGGGGATGATTCTTAGTTTACTTACCACGCCAACGGAAAAATAATTGTTGATAATGTTATAGGGCACTGTGCAGTCCTTGTCCGATTGCACTTTGATGGGCTTTTGCGGAATGTTGCTGCTGCTGCCAGTTGCTGCTGCTGCTGTTGCTGCTGCTGGTGCTGTTGTTGCTGTGGGTGTGGTTGCTGCAGCTCCTATTGTTATTGCTGAGGGTGTTGTTGGTGTTGATGCTGGATGGGCTGCTGCTGTTGCTGAGGGAGTCTTTGGTGTTGCTGGTGCAGATGCTGCCGTTGCAGAGGGTGTTCCTGCAGCAGATGTTGGTGTTTTGGGTGTTTGTGGCGTGCTATCCACTTGACGTTGTCTGCTCTGCGGCTCGTTGGTATTGCTGCTGGTGTCGGACAAATCTAATGACAATGTAATTTGCCGCTTAACAATGCTCTGCTGTTGACTATTATGATCATCGCTTTGATTATGCTCAAATGCTGCTGTTGCTGCTTGCTCTGTGGCCGTTGTTGCTGCTTCTGCTGCAGCCACTGCTGCTGCTGCTGCTGCTGCTTCCGCTGCCAACTTTTGCTGTTGCTTGTGCTGCAGCAGCAATGTCTCTAGCGATTGCTTTTCCGTTGCATCTGTTCTGCTAGCTGCCAGCAGTTGGGCCTGATTGCTGTTGCTGCCAACGGAATTGCTGCCACTGCCACTTGAGTTGCTGCTGCTGTTGCTCTTGTTGCTCATTGTGCCAGTTAATGTTTTTTTTTGCACCCGTCTCGTTTCGAATGTGGACATCGAAATGCTCTTCGTGGTTGTGCTGCCACTTACAACAACATTCCCACTTCGTACCACCTCCAGCTGCTGCTGCTCCTCCTCCTCTTCCTCCGTCCTCGTCGTAGTTGTGGTTGTTGTTGCCATCATAATCGGTTTGCCCGTTGACATGTTGTCGTTGCCACTGCTGCCGCTGTTGCTGACGAAGTTTTGCCGCTGGATTTCCTCGAAACGTTCGATCACCGATTTGTCGACCACAACGCTCTGCGACAATTCAATCACCTTCTGCATGTTTGAGTGCAAAGTTACCTGTCGAACAGACCGAAGCATCGAAAGGGTGAGTGAGGAATAGAGGCAGTTGCTAGAGACATATGTGTACTATGTGTGGCAACATTCAAAATTAGTTTGTGTAATCGTTTTTTCGGTTTGCGATTCGATTGCCATGCCTTCGCATCCCACTTCAAGCCACACCCCATCTGCAGAGCTGAACAAAACTTTGCTAGATAATTGGATTTTTCTTTCTAATTTACTTTTGCAAACTGTTTGCTTTAACTTCTAACAGTTAAATTTTCAAATTCCAGCTATTCATGATAAGGTATCGTAGCTATCGATACATTAAACAGAATTTGAATAACTGGAATAGGGAATACGTGAAGTAGTTCAGGAATCTATCGATACGAACTGGTTTTTGATTTCTGTTTCGCTTACCTTGGGACGCAGCTCCTCCACGGTGAGCGGTGTGTTAGTTACCTCGATGCTCCAGCGGTCCAGGCTAACGGTCGATGCGCGCTTTATCTTGTCCATTAGTTTGGGTATATTCTCACCCTCATAGCCGCCGCCCCAGCGCAGGCAGCGTGCCAAATCATTTCCCGTTCCAAGCGGAATCACCCCAATGGCAGGCTGTGTGGCCAGCTCAATGGAATCTGTGTGGTTGACATCGTTATCATTTACTGCTATTAGCTAGCTTTTAAGGCTGCTGCTCGGCTGCTTACCCATTGCCTCGAGGACCCAGCCAACGGTGCCGTCGCCGCCACAGCAAATGACTTTAAAATTGGGCAGGTCCTTAAAGAGCGTAAGTCCTGTTAAGGAATGAACAGTTAAGTCGATACTTGCTTACGCTATGATGCAGCGGAGCACAAACAGACGCTCAAGGCGGATACTGTACACGCTCTTCGCTTTTCAGTTTAGCATTGCGAATATGTGACATACCTTCCTTGGGCCCACCTTTGGACAGATCGTACACCTGCCTAGGGTTGAGCATATACTGAAATTTGCGTAAAATGCGATCGCCCTGACGACCTCCACTCTTGGGATTCACAAACACCAGCAGAGGGCAGCTCAACTCATCCGGCGGCGTAATTTGAAAGTGCGTTGCCTGCTGATGATGCATATTTGATTTCTACTCAAGTTTTTACAGGTTTTGGAGTTGCGATTGGGTTTAATTTTGCAGGAATTGTGATGCATATACATACGATGCAAGTATATACGCATATATGTATATGTATATAGTTAGATGTGACAGCAAAGTAATTTACAAAGTACAGTAAGCAAGAAGAGTATGAATGGAATGTGGATTAGTTAGAATTTTGCCAATTGTTGGGATTTAGTTGGAACATTGTTCTTAATTCGATTACAAACGGAATCAACTCACTTTATGCGCCTGATTAACGGAGCGCTGACGATCCAGCACGGCGGGACATATGGCTGTGGGCGGCACAATTAGCTCCGCATATTCACCCAAAGTGCATTCCTTTTTCACAGACGAAGCGCAGCGATTATGTAACTAGAAAGATAGAGAGAGAGAGAGAGACACAGAGAATGAGAGGGGCGAGTGAGATGGCGGTAAAATTTAACGAATTCTGCCAGCCAATTAGCCAGCAAGATGCAAAGTAGACCCAAAAAAAAAAATCTGAATCATAAAAAGTGAATTTTTAGCGCGCCTTGAATTCAATTAGTGGCGCACTTCTGGCCTGGCCGACTGGGCGTATACGTATTTATTTGACGAGCTCTTCGCACGCTTGCTTAAGCGCTCATTTCGCTTTAATGAATTCGATTAAAAACTTTGTTAGCACCGAACGCCTCCCACTTCGCAAAATGCTATTAATTTACGCCTAAATGGAATTTAATCACGCCGCCATTTTGCTATATATATATATATACATCCATGTGAATATGTGTGTATGAATATCAGAGCAGCTACTTATTTGCTTCAGTGTATTGCAACTACTTATGAAGCACCTTTAATGCTCGGCTAAATGAAAATGTAATGGCAGTCAAAGTGGCCCACAGAGTCGAGGGACTAAGAGTTACCCTAGAACGTGATCAATTGAATTACTCTATATAAAATGATTTACTCTTCTACAGTTCCTCACATTTATATATCTATCTCCCTCACGCCCACATCGTCAAGAGAAATCAGTTCACCCAGTTTACGCATTTTCAATGCATTCCAGGGTATAATTGCACGAGGTACACTCATATTCTTATCGCACAGAGGGTTATGGCAGCATCAACGTCGAACTTCTTGTGGCTTGTATTGTGGCCGTGCTTATCGGGCTTGCCTCGAGACCTATTGACTATTGCAGCAGCGTTTCAGCTTTAGAAACATTTACAGAAACTTTCCTTGCTTTGGCAGAATTTGTGGGGCTGTTGCTCTTGTTGTTGTTGTTGTTGTCTGTTCTAGTTGCTGACTACAGATAACGAATTCGGCATTATCTTGCGACAAGCTGCACGGTCTGTCACAGGCAACGCGCCAGACAAAGTTGTTGCAAGCGGTTGGCTGTGCCACAGGCATGCTGTGGCATGCAGCAGCAGCATAATTTCTTTGAGACGTGACAATTTGCCAACCCAAAAAAGAAAAGAAGGCAACCAGAAGCAGCCAGCCAAGTGCATGACACAAGTGTGCGGCGTCTGTCTCGCCTGTCTCGGTGTGTAGTTAAAATCAGTGGAGCTTAACAAGTTTTTTGCAGGAATCAAAACAAATAGAGGAGCCAACGGCCAAGGCAACTGAGCAGACGTCGCTCTGTGTTGATCAAAATAATTGAAATTCTACATATTGAACAAATTCCACCAGCTTGTGCACAATTGGAATTTCTTCCCACTGCTGCTCTCACTTTATCATTTTATCACTTTCCCAGTATCTCAGTTGGCAACTGTCTTGTTAAGTTAAATAAATGCTTTGAAGTATAAGGGAAATGCCTCCAGCATTTATCGCCCCCAACCTTCAGTCCCACAACTCCCTCCACACTCGCCTCTCCATTGACAATGCCAAGAATTTTATTTTTATTCGCAACTTTCAAACTATATGGAATGGAGAATTTAACTACAATTTGCTTTAACTATAACGAGGGCTGTCTTAAAAGTTAAGGAACATGAAGTGAAAATAGCAGAATTGAACTGATTTAATAATAATAATATGGAATAATAAAAAACATTTTTTATTTAATTATTTTCTTAATTATTTAAACAGATTCGCTATTACAAATACCGCCTCCAGCAACCTATTTGAGGCTTCCATTTTGGATCATACACTCACCATCATGTGGCACCAGCGACAGGTGAGTCCCGTTATGCCATGATAGGCCTTAATGCGTTTGCGGCACTTGGAGCAGCGACCATAGCAATTGCCCTCGACCCAATGATGCAACAGATCTCCGCCACTCTTGGGCTTCTTCGATTTCACGTAGGTTGTGATGCATGAGGCAGGGGCATGTTGCACGCAACGTTCATGCACCGTATATTTGCAGACTAAACAGGAGAAATGGTGGACATAGATACATATATTTATATTAGCTGAGATTAATTACAGAATGAAGAGCTTAGTGAAATCTTAGTTAAATTATTTAATTGTAAATAGAAGAAAGCTAAAATTATAAATTTAAATCAGTTTTAAAAGCAATTTGCGCCAGCTCAACGAGACATTGGCCATTTAGGCATAGATAGTTGATATATGTAGTATATATAGTGCATATACATATATAGTATATTTAGCTTCTCTATATTTTATATTATATAGTGTATATAATAGGTATCTCTTTGATACTTACGAACACAGCAGAGTCCCTTTTTGCCAAGGCCGACCAACATATTTAGGCAGAGATTGCAATATGCTGGCTTGCTAAAGTGCTTCAGGCGCCACACATGAATGCCATCCTCTTTGAGTGTAGTGCTGTCGACACCTGGAAAGCGGAGATGGGAGGTGGGTGAGTTAGGGCAGGTGTGTTAAGTGAGTAGCTTGATATATGGATGCATTGCAGATGCAGGCGGCTGCAGGCAGGCGGGCGACAGGGGCCCCGCACCCCGCACAGTTTTGCATACGTGCAGTAGAAGGCAAAAAATGCCACGTTTACTATTTTCACATTTTTGTTCTACTCTTTTTGCAGAACTTCTGTGTACCTGCTGCAAATGACTTGATTATTGAGACAGCCATGGCAGACAGCCTAGCTGGCAGTGAGGCAGTGAGGCAGCGAGGCAGCGAGGCGATAAATGCATTGAAAGCTTCACAGCTACTTGGCTCTGATGCTCACTCACACACCCACAGACACGTTCACGCACACACACACTTAACTCGTACTCACCTAGCAGGACGAGCAGCGGTATGGTTGTCATGCCGCCACGTTGCCATTCTTCCAAGGACACTGTGCCATCGGCATCATAGTCAATTTCAACCATCATATCTTGCAGTATCTGTAAGAGTAACAAAAAGAGGAGAAGAGAATCGTGTAAAAATGGGCTGGAGGTGGAATTTTCGTTGCTGTATGACATCCTGATTGACATTCTGCGGTGGAGTAAGGCAGATAAAGGCAATTTTACTTTGCGACTTTCGGCTTTTACCTTTGACTGCAACGGAGTTGGGGATCGCGTAATTCGAGCAAAATGTATACAGGTAACCTTATTACGATTGTCTGCCACACAGATAAAGCTATAAAACGAATTAGACTCTATTCTTGTATTGATTTCTTTCAGGAAATATAATAAATACTTGACGAAATATAATAAATACTGGCGACGTTTCTGCAATATAGTCGACTTGAAAAGCAAAGCATGACAAGAATAATTTTGCTCTTCCTTACCACTTGAGCGCCCAATAAGAGGATTATCAACTAACTGCTTTTTGCATAAGGATACTCAACAGAGCCATAAAGGACAAAGGCATCTCGCCTGATAGTAAGAGGATGAGCCAATTGAATTGACTTTGCTTATAACTACGTAAAGACCATCTAAACTTAGCAATTGGCCAATAAAACAACGTTGACTAACATAACAGCAAGCTTCTGTCTGCTAAAGAATACATATCACTTGGCGTAGCAGGCAGCTTTTTAGTGCTAACGCGAATGGCGTTTTGTTTATGTAAAATGTAATTTTTGCTCATAATTTATAAGCTCCAATAAAATTCGAATAAAAATATAAAACAAAGTTTGATAAATTTTCGATTTATTTATAAAAACTAACAATATTACATAGTATTGCAGTAACAGACATATGGCGGGGAAAATTGTCCGTTTTTCAATTTTTGTTGCATACCTTTGGGATGACGTGTCGAAATCGGCAACGAATATCTCAGGCTAGATAAGACCGTTGGCGGACTTTGTAAAGGATATATAAGAAGAAGAGCATGTATCCTTTATGAGCATTAAAAAACAAGCTGCAGCAAACTGCATTATGACAATTTATTCCTGGGGAAATATTCATATTTGGTTGCATAAAAACGCCTCTAACTTGGCCGTATCCTTGCGCAGGACGAAAGGATATGGTGCGTTAGGATAAGCAGGACCTACTTTATGGATTCCCATAAAAAAAATATTGGGTCATCTAAGAATCTTGGACTTGTACTTTTTCGTTTCAGGCCGGGCCTGGGCGGCCAAGGATTTGGCTAAAAACACACAAAATCGCCAATATCTCCGAAACTACAAGGCAGAATTTGATGTCCTTTGGCCAGTGTGTAGTCCTGGTGACCCCATTTCGTTTGACATAAAAATTTCCAGGATACGCAAGGATACGGCCGAGTAATGGGCCTTTTTCCTCTGTATACAAAAGTCCTTATAACTCCGCTGTTTGCAGGACTTTCATCCTACTTTTTGCTTCTTCCTGATTGGTGCCATGAGGACTTCTTTTGGTCCAAAGGACATTCCGATAGTCCTTCAAATGGCCGAGATAAAGTGCATTTTCTGATTTTTAGCCAATTTTTCGACCATATGCCTTGCAAATTTTTATGAAAATTTTTTTGAGGAATCCTGGAAATCCTTGAATGCAAATCGATAGTATGAGTGCTCACGAGCTCGAAAAGGTATATCTTGCAAGGATCCTTAAGGATATGGCGGAGTTATGGCTATGGAAAGAATGTCCTTGTTTTGAAATTTATTTAATGATCCTTATTAAAACATTGTGGGCTTATCTAAGAAGCTAAGGGTAAAAATTTCAGGAATTATTGCTATAAGTTGATCATATCCTTGCACATCCTGGCGAGGTATGTGGCAAAAAAAATAGATTGTTGACCTCGATGAATTGATGAACAATTAAAAATCAGAACCACGACGCGGCCTGGGTTTGAACTCTAGACCCCGCGATCAAACGCCGCGTCTTTTACCACTACGCCACCTTACTGTTTGAAATTGTATTGGCAAAACTGAAATAGATTCACTGCTGCAACGTCATCTAGCAAATCTAAACCAAACTAACTGCTGATGTGACTTTAAGAATGTGCAAG